CTTAAGTTGTAATAGTTATCACTAAACAACGTAATATCAACAATTTACGAAATGTAATCTTCAGAAATGAATTTGTAAGGATAGTAAACTTTTTTTACATGAATATCTCAAATATCTTTTGGCCCAATCTAATTACGCAGTTTAAAATAATTTCTAGATAGCTTTATATTTAATTTGTATTGTTAAATAAAATTTTTTGGCAAATAATTTATATTTGTAATATTTCTCAAAAGATAATAATGTAAGTAATTAAATTAATTTCATTACAATTTGCTTTTGATTCCTTATAAAAATTTTATCATTTATATTATCATACTTAAACAGAAGTTTCCTCTTCAAATATAAAGAAGACGTAAATTAATCGTGATTAACATCGACCAACGCCGTCTAAAGGCGAATCTGAGCTGAAGCATTCTCAATGGGAACGATAAGAGAGGACTACCACGAAGGGCCGTTTCCATTGGCGCGCAACATCCGTGATAGCATCGGCTTGCAAGTTCCGGCCAAGACTAAGGCAGGCGCCCACCCATACCGGATCGACGCATGCATATCGGTGTTGTTGAAGCTCGCGATGCATAGAAGCAGCAGCACAGCCACGCAAGCAACATGGTAATAAAGTTTATTGCGAGAATGCATTAGATCGAATACGTTACACATCCAGCGCGCACCAGCTGCAGAGGGTGCGAGGTAGGTTGAGTATTCAGAGCCCAATAAACCCAACCTGGTGTACTCGGAGAGTTAACGCAACCCGGCTTCGGCTCTAAGCACACGCCAAGCCGCGTGTCTCGCAGCAATCCCACTTCCTTCGCCTATCGTTCCCCGCCTTCTTCGCCCAGTAGCCTCTTTTAAGAAACTTCGCACGCTTATGTGACTTTAATAAGGACGCCTTATTTTTCCAAATAATTACAAATAATAGTTACAGTAAACGAAACTTGAATTTGACTTTGGGCAAATTGAATCAAAGAATTGCATAACGATTTTGTTGTGTAGGTATATAGCTAAAAGTTTAGATTTTAAAATTTTACACAAAAAGGATTTAAAAATAATTTTGTTAGAAACTTGAAAATGATAAATATTGCTATAAAACATTTTGATATTCTAGCAATCAGTTTGACTTTCCAATTATTTTGATGGTCCAACAAGAATTATTTTCAGATCTGTATCCAGCAAATTGTTCTTTCCGTATAGATTATTGAAAAAAAACCAAATATTAAAAAAAGAAAACGCAGGACATAGTAAAAAATAGTAAATTCCCCTATTAGCAATAATCGATAATTTGGAGACATTATTTAATAAATAGATTATATATTTTAAATGCTTATCATTCAAAATTAATATCTTGATAATGCCTTTAATAATTAAGAAGAAGACAATATAAATTTCTTAAATTATGCTTCCATTTATAATTTAAGTATTAGAAAATCATTGTGTATGAAATTGTTGTACCTAATCTAAGAAAATATCTGATAATAAAAAAAATATATTATTCCCAGTGTGGGAATAAACAGTAAAAATAAACATATTTCAGAGTTCATCTGGCATCTCCCCGAAAACTCAACGCAATGCCAGCCAGCCGTTCTCGAGAATTTCGAGGAACGTCCGCGAATCCCGCTGACAAATCGCCGCGAGTCGCGAGTCGAAGTCACGGCCGGATAAGAGCGGCGTCTATTCTCCAAATATAGCGATAACCTCGGAAGGGAGGGGGTGCAACCTCCTGATGGTGGATCGGGTGCGACGGGTGTATATATCGAGCGGGGGATTCCCGCGACACGAGAATTCGAAAGACGGAATTCGCGAGGCGGCAGAGAGCTCGCGGAGGGCGCGACGGAAAAAGGAATGGGAATGGCGGATATGTGTGAGAAGCACGGGAGCAGCGCGCTCGGTGGCGTCGGGGTAGATGTAGTTAGGTACTATGTCGGGGCATAATAGAATAGATAGCGGATAGGCGGAAGGCCGGGGCCCGCCGCTGCTTCGGGAATACTTTACCGAGCGTATAAACGCTATTTATGGCTGCATAAACCAGCGATAGGGGATATATAATACAGTCACACACCTACGTTCCAACCCTCTCCGCCTCCTCTAACTCGGGCTCTCTCACTCTCTCTGCCTCTCTTCCCCCCTACCCCCCTCCCTCTCTCTCTCTCTCTCTCTCTCTCTCTCTCTCTTCCTCGTTCTTCACGCTGCACGGCGTATCTACGTGTATCTACGAAGAACGATCGACAACACCCCCTTCTCTTCGCTTCGCCGCTCCACATCCCCGTCGGCCTGCATTGATTTGCATGAGATTTCGACCTGAGTTCCTTCTTATAAATCTACCTCCCCCCATCTCCCTCGCCGTCCGCGCCGAAAGGAAAGGTATTGACTCCCTTCGGCCTTTCCCGCCTTCTCTCCCACGCCGCGCGCCGCCGCGCCGCGCCGCGAAGACGATGCATACAGAAAATTCGCGTGCCGAGAGGAAATTCGCGAGTTCACCCCGGGATACGGGAATTGAGAAACGATCGGGGGCGATTTTTCGAGCCGCAAAAGAAAGCAATTAGTTAAGAATATAAACGACTCAGATATTTCATTCTTCGCGGAGAGATAAAGAAAAAAAGAATGGAGTGCGAACTCGCGGCATCGGGGAAAAGCTGAATATAGAACCAATAAAATTTGAAATTTGTGAGGTACGTAGATCCTATAAGAGCTTGAATTTGTGAAACATAAAGTCTAAATGTAGAGTTTGTGAGACATAGAACCCGTGAGATATAGGCCCTATGGAATCTAAAATTTGTAAAAGATAGGATCCATGAACTTGAGGATTTGTAAGATGTAAGATGTATGAAACGTAAGTAATAAGCGAATATATGGAAAATAGATTTCGATGAAATATATGGAATATGAAATTTTAAAATTTGTAAAAATAAACCGAACATTTGCAAACCATGAATTATAAAAAAAAAGTCTAGAATTTATATAGAATATAATATATTAGATATATGAATGTGTGAATTTATACGTAGCTCTCTACATAACTCCTCTCGGTTTATCACAAATAGAGATCTCTATTCCTGACAGCGGATTGCTCTAACACTTGGTAACAATCAAGTTTAGTGGCACGCCACCATTGGTGTAATACTTCGATTGGCGATAACAGCATCTTACTGGCCATTACGAGCAGAAGTTTCTTAATTTGGCACTTGACGCTTGGCGTTTGTAAACTTCTGCGCTTCGATTTATTCCTCGAACGAAATTATTCAAAACCACGACTCGGTGCCGATTCAGCGCCATTATAATACCTAATTAGCCGCTCGCGAGACTTGGGTCGCTGATCGACGATTCAGGGACCAGGTTCTCCAGCTTGGCAAACTTGCCCGGTACTGCCGGTTCGCTTTGGTGAATTAATTATTTCGCGTCACGCCTCGCTACGATGTTTATAAAGCGTTAGACGCCATCTTGCTGAGGCAACCTTCCGCTCTTAAATATGCGATTACGCGATCCACGGAGAGAATCGCTTGTCCTCTTTGCGACTCTATCGTTGTCGTTATATTTATTTTGTAAGGTTCGATTAATATTAATTATTTTTACAACTAAAGAAATACTCAAACTTACGTGCGGGCGCAGTATCTCAAGATTTTACTTTCTTTGCTTACCTGAAACAGAAATTGCATTATTAATAATATGTAATAAAAAAAAACATTTTTTGTTAACATGTATATATTAATAAAATTTATATTTAAATATAATAATATAATAAATGATATCGTATAATATATGATATCAAATGCATACAAAATTATCTTAATAAAAAAATCTTGTAGAGCATAAAATATACAATTACATAATAATAAATAAACTAATATATATCAAAATAAATTCTAATCTGCAATATGCAATAATCTTTGCATAATATTGGATATATGCAAAAATTTTAGTCTTTTTCGCTTTTGTTCCATAATAGGTATATGTAATAATATTCAGTCATCAAAATATCTGTCTTTGTTTTCTGTGATTTTCTCAAGTAAATTTCAGATTCTTTTACAAAAAAATATTTTTGTATCTTAGTTACATTTCGAAAGCGCTTTTCAGTTAAGGAACGTTGCATCGATCGAAATAAATGCAATAGTTCGAAGGCCCCAAGTGAATACGCCACGTGTAGAAAAATTCTCCGGCACAAAAATGATTTGCTGGATATCAAAAAACGAATAACGTTGTCATGTTAAAGGTCGGCAAATGATCTTCCGGTTTACTTGTCCAGTAAATATATACTTTTCTGTTTTTTTAATTCTTTAAAAACGCAAAAAAAACGGGAATTTATTTAATTGATACCAAAATATAATACTATTTAAATAATTGTACCAGAGCGTTGAAGAAAAAGACTAAAACTTTTGTATATTCAGCTATTACACATGATAAATTAATGTCTTTTTTTAAAACATTCAAGATTATCTTAAAATATAATATTACGTTGCGCGGCACGGCACAATATCTTGTTCTTTATAGCGTTACCTATGAAATTCTACACTATTTTACGGTAAACAAATGAATCTATTTTCTCAGGAAGATTCTCCGCGGAAACTGCGGTATGACAAAGTCACAGCCATTGTTCGTTCACACCGTGGCAGCGAGATAAAGGGACGGCGAAGTATAGTCCCCCGGAATACCTTTTAATTACGTCGCCGCCATCGCGAGATCTCGCGGAAAATATGCAGCGGTGGACGTTTTAATCTCGCGGTCACTTAAAAACTCCTCGCATAGATCCCGCCGTTATCTCGACGGGCGGATCGGAACCGCGTTCGGGAAGCGGAATAAAATCGCCCTACGAAATTTAATAAGTTCCTTCGACGAGGGTCGTAAGTTCCTCGCGAGGGCGGTGGAAACGAGTCCTTCGAGACTCGAGGGGGTCGCTAAAACTAAAAGGCGACCCTTTATATTTGCGCTAGGCTGCAATTCACCCGCCGGATTGCAGCCTGCCGCAGCAACTGATAAATCTCGAGAGTCAGTATTTCGCAAACGTCACACTATACTATTCAATCAACTAAAATCAAAACTGAAATTCAAGTTTGTTTCGACAAATAATAAATAAAAAATATATATATTATATTCTGGCATAATAATTAAACAAGAACGAGAAAAAAAGAGAATAAGAAAGAGAGAGAAAGAGACGTATGAGTTACGTAAACCAATCGCGTTAAACCAACAAGGATAAAATTGACTTTGGGAGACGAGCTAAAGTCCCGTAATTTAAACGTTTAATCGCAAATTAGGATGAGAAACCTGCTGTCTTTTCTTGCAAGAGGTATACGTTCAGTTAAACGATAATTAAGATAGTTTTCGGAAGTTTCCCCATTTTTAATAACGTGAAGATCAAAAAAGCGATGGCTGGGAAACAAAGTGTACTTTTCTTTTCCCTAAACTTCCCGCCTTTGTTCAATATAAGACGAATAGTTTTCGTAGATTTATTTGTCCCTTTATTTCTCCCTACAAAATTTCCCCGAAAAAAAAACTTCTGCGGGAGCGCACGCTCGAATTCTTCAAAACTTTTAAAACTTGGTAAACATTTCAATTACTTTACGCAAAAGGGTTTGACATCAAAGAATAAGAATTGGATAAAATACGTCAAATGCAATACAACGCACACAGCAACGTACGCAATAAGATGCAATATAAAATCACTATCTCGCCCTAGTAACGGTCGCACATCGCCCGGTTTAATCGCTTCCCCGACTCTGAATTCGTTTCCTAAGCCACGGCGATCGTTCCCATTACGGGGATCCGCTTTTAAAACAATTGCCGGCGCAATGAATGTCAGAGAAAAGAGCGAGGAGTAACTTTGGATTTCGGTATCGTCGCGCGAAAGAATCGCATGGTGTAAATTCTGGAGCGGGACAAAACGCGGTTTGCCATTTCGCGAGAGCGGAACCTAATCCTGCGGAGATACGTGACCAGAATTGCTTTTTGACCTTCCCGTAGTGGTCCAAACGGGACCGGCAGCTTAGCATTTTCCTTCCTTCCAATCGTTTTGTCTTCTCTATTTGCACGGCAGGAGCGTTCGAGATACTTTTCCATCGTGTTGGATCAAACGACCAATAAGAGCGTTATTATCACATTTTCTTTGTATTCAAAGACGGTATAAAAATTCCAAACAAGTAAAAACACATTTTCCTTGTAGGTTTTTTTAAATATAATTTATTCAAAATGAGAAAAATTTATATATTCTATTATTAATATTATTCACAAAAATTTGCCTGTATAACAAAGAAAATTTCATACTTTGAAGAATTGCATTTCCGTTATAATAAATCTCTTTCATAAAATTTTAACATGGAATTTACATTTGATTCTTATACTCCAAAATTTTTCAATTTAATTTAACGCTAATAATTTTCATTTCTTCCATCAATTAGATATTCTTTCTCGGAATTTTCTCGCACTCTTCCAGAGAGAAGAGCGAGAACGGATGCCCCAGTTGCCCAGTTTGAAAGTAATATCATACTTCGAAAGAGATACGAAGGGTCAAAAATGTCTCTTCATATCTTAGCTTCCGCGTAATCCATTTCCGCCTTTCAAAACTTAAAACGAAGTTCAAAGCACAAAGACTCTGTGACGTTCCCGTCAACCAAAATAATTTGAGAGCGGAACTCGGCGCGCTTAAATTTGGATGACTTCCAACGATATTATCGAAACTGACAGCAATGTTGAGTTAAATTTATTCTCCGCGTGAGGGATCGGTAACATGGTCATCTCGAAGGGGAAGTCGCTAATGAGAGTATCGTAAATACCTTCGTTACAAGCGAAAATAGTTAATCTAAACTTGGAAACATTATTATTTATAGCCTGTCGTCTAAACGTCACTATCACTTTCTTTCAATTGCACATCTTTCGCACCGTAAATATCGCACGTACAATTCTCGTAACTTATTCGCGTTTCAAAGTAAGAGGGAATAATAATTAATAAAAATACGTAAACTGATAAACTCGGTACTCACAACGAGCCATATATATACTCGCGCGGATATTCGTGAGTTCACGTAGCTCCGTCGCTCTGCCATCCACCGCCCGCTGATAAATGTATTTTAAATGGGCGTTCGGGTTCCATTAACGTTAAACGCGAGCTACGCTGCACGCCAAAGTCAAGCGGACTAGAGATACTTTCGAGAAATCTTACGATAGCGGCGCAAATCCGGCATAATTCGCTGCTTGGGCGTTAATGGCGTTAGACCTGTCGGGACGGTAAGAGCCGCTCTCTGCCTCCTTCGTTTAACTTCGCTCAACAGCTATTCCCATTCATGCCAGTTCCATTAACTTACTATCGAAGAAACGCGATGCGCATGTCGGTCTTAAAAATGCGAGGCTCACAAGTTTACTTCCGGCAACATATGATTTCATCCTTTAATTAGTTTCGACTAAGAAACAAGTTATCATCATTGTTGTATTATGTCGTATTTATTCGCGGAAGATATTTTTATGCATTTTAGCTTAGCAAAATTTCTTATCAAAATGTAAATCTTTTGTAGAAATACACGGAAAGAACAATTTTGCTGGATACAGATTTGAAAGTAATTTTGTTGGACCATCAAAATAATTTTGTCGAAAATTTAAAATGATTGCTAGAATATCAAAATATTTTACAGCAATGTTCATCATTTTTGAGTTTTCAATAAAATTATTTTCAGATCTGTATCCAGCAAAATTTTTAGACCTAACAAAATCGTTCTTTTCGTGTACCTTCTCCAAAATTGTATCATTTCTATTAATCAGACAAATACGAGAATAATAATAATGTAGGAAAACTTGTCTACATACTGTGGAAATTCTTAAACAGTTTCTATTTATTTAATTTTTATTAAATATTCTAATATTTAAAAAAGTTGCAAAGTTGTTATCCTATATGCTGCTTATTATATTTTTCCATTATTACGTTACCTCATTATTTCTTCCTTAATAATAGATTTTTTCAAATTTATTATCTCTTTTATATTTTTTAAACTTTCCGTTCTACAAATTTTCTTCTATTCTGTTCCAGTGTATTGTGAAATCCGTTATGAGAACAGTTATTTATTAGAAACATTGAAGAGACTGAGTTTCTCTAAAGTTATTTCAATTAAAGACACGTAATATTCTACGAATTACGTGAAATTAATACAATGTCGACATTCCGCAGGCAATCTGATGCTACACAGAATCCAGTTGCGATATAACATACATTAATGTCGTATCTCGGGAAAGAGGAAGAGAGAGACGGGGCGCGAAAAGTAAAGTGAATAATCTATGGAGAATCTGGTGGAACGTTTGGAGTATTAATTTTCGGTATGTCCCGACATTAGGTCTCCCCAGTTCTCATTTGGATATATACTTCGGCAAGAGGTCGTCGTTCTTGGCTCTGGACCAATCGTCACGTCGTTGCTACCCGAATCGCGATAAGGTTTCTTGACGATGAAACGTGGCCTGGAGTTATTCTGGACCATCATTCCTTACTTCCGCGTGATGCCGGTTAGACGGATTACACCTGTCAGCCCGCAATCGTCTTTCATTGAACTTCAAATACAAGGATGTGAAGAGGCACTTATAATTGTGTACTTTCGAAACTATTGTTACACTGCATTTGCAAAGATAAAAATCAGAAATTGAAAAAGTTCTTTGATAAAATGTTTCAAATAAAGAAGTTTTTTTCCCTTTCCTTCAAGAATTTTATTTTCAAGAAAAAAGTCTTTCCTTTTTCTTCTAGCCGGTTTCTTTAATCAAATTAGAATCACTCTGACGATAAAATTTCAATGAGGATTTTATTGGACATACTGCAGTACTTTTCATTTCCAACATTACATCTCTTGGCAACTGAGATTCAAATTAATACTCCGTGAAAGAAAAATCGAGATAAAGTAGAAAATAACAATTCAATATCAAAATTGAATTTCAATAAATACTTAACTTGAGGACACATTGAATTAGAAATTTCCGATTTAGCGCATTTGGCAAAATTCCATGTCACGAATACGTCAGTAAAAATAATTCCTTACTCCTCGACGCATCTTTGCGTCTGTTCTTCTTGTTCGCTCCATTCCATTCCCTTCCTCAGCGGTCTCCTAGTTAGGCGAGCACTCTAACTTAGCACTCTGATAAGTGCGCGACTTAATTGCAGTGAACCTGCTGCAACGCTTGAACTCGGTTTCACTTAATACGCGAATTCCAGCTTGATTTATTGATGGCCTCCGCCATGAGTATTCTAGGAGCGCCAAGAGAAGGAGATGGTACTCGGTTTATCACGTTGCACTCTCGTATCTCGCTTAAAATACGCTTTCCGGAATAGTACTTAAGTACGAATGGTACTCAAAAGTAGTACACAAAGAACATCGTGCAACCTTTATTTAATCAACCGCCGACGAATGTAATCAACGGAATTAGATTTAGCCACAAAAATCTTTTAATTGAAATGCTACATGTTAAGTGTAAAGAATTTTTTAACCTCTTATTTCCATTAAACCCGTCTTTTCTTAAACTAAATAAAGAACTTTTTAATGAATTTATAATCTAATTGTTTACAATTAACGTGACAAAATGATAAAATTCTTGACACACGTGTGGTATTGTACTTTTTGTAAACGAAACTTTTGAGACTCAGTTGATAAAACTGCATTTTAATAATAAAACTATTGAAAAATATGTTACATATATATTAATAAAATACAATTAGAATTGATTCGAAATATTGCAATTGTAATAAATCCATACATAATTCTCTAAATAAAAGCTAAACGTCATTATTTCACAACTCTCTATTTCACAATTCTTGCAATTTTGCAATTCTTTCATCTTTTAACAGTAAAAATCTTGGGAAGACAAGAGTCTCCTTCTCTTCTTCTCTCAAGAGCACTTTCTTAGTCTTGAAAAATACCATTATCCAGAGCCAGTTCGGAGAATAACAATGAATTTCAATTAATGGCAGGGGAGCCCGCGCTAATCCTCGAACAATCGCTCCTCGGGCGCCGATCGCTCCGCGAACGATATCGCAGACTCACCGAGTTCGGGCTAATTAAATTCCCGTAATATCATATCTGCCTTCCGCACACATGGCTCCCGCGGAAACTTCGATCTGCGAAAATATCGGAGAAGAAGAGAGAGCGAGGGCGCAGCTCTCCAGACCGTGCAGAGAGACCGGGTCGAGCGCTCGGCGGAAGTGTCCGCCGAAAGTACTCAATCGGATGGGGGGCGAAACGTATTGCCAATTTCGGACGAGCTTGTAGACAGTGTCGACCGCGGCAGATCTACGGCGTGTAATTTGCCGGAAATTCAGCGGTACCATCTGCGCGATCGGAATGGAAATCGCGACGGTGTACGGGATCGAAGCCTGAGCTATTTCGCGCCGTGCCGCGGCGCGGCCACATCGTTAAAGAATGTCGCTGAACAGCGATAAATATAAAGATCGGGCTGATAGTGATATGGCTTCGCGTTCCCATCGCACGTGTGGCTGGCTCGCACATTCTCGCTAATTGAATAATTCACTTAAAAAGAAACGGCAAGAGTGAGTAAGAATAAAATATACTAATTGTGTATGTATATGTATTATATAATTCTGTGTTTCACTTACGAAAAAAATGATTTTACTGGAAAGTTTAAAAATATTGCTGGATACAGATCTGAAAATAATTCCTCAAAATAATTTTGTTAAAAAGTCAAACTGATTACTAGAATATCAAAAAAACATTTTACAGCAATTAATATTCATCATTTTTGAGTTTTCAACAAAATTATTTTCAATCCAAATTTTTTGACCTTTCAGCAAAATCGTTCTTTCCATGCTTACATTTCAATATTGTTCTTTAATCATGAGAAATCATGATTAAAGAATGAAATCATGAAATCAAAATTTTCATAAATTTTAGTCTTAAAAAAAACGCCTTAATACAAAACTTTCAGATATGATAAAAATCAAATAAGGTTTAAGAGTGTTTTAAAACGAATGAAGGTTTCGGCTCTCTCAAGATTCATGATTGTGTCCAATATCCAGACAGCGATTTCTCTCGCCGTCGGTCGTTCATCCATCCACGGGGTCGTCGTTGACCTCGGGTGGCTTTCTCGGGACGGTCGCCGATGTCCCCGTACATCATTCTCTCGAGTTATAAATACGACGGTTCGAACGAAGTAACGAGCTTGCCGCGGATCAACGGCGGAAAATAGACGAAGTACACACGAAGAGGGTAGAGTGGACAAGAGGTAGAGAAAGGGACGGCGAAGGAGAATGAAAGGGTCACACCTGCCGGCGTCGCTCGTCCCATTGAGATTCTTATAACAGCTGCGCCGGTCAATGAGCGGATTCGCGGTTCGCGCCGCGGTTCAACCAATTGTACGAGCCGCTTAAAATTAGCGACAGACCCGCGCGATCGTGTCCAAGAGACCTATCTTGTCGTGAGCTCGTGTCGGACGAGCGGGGTTAGAAAGAGAGAATTGAGAGCGGTTCCTCGGCAAAATTGATCGGTCGGAATTGCAGTGGCGGCCAACTGCAGTCCGCGCAATTCGCTTAACGACGAGCCCCCGGGATCGTAACTCCTTGCCCGGAACGGGGATTATCGCGCTGCGGCGCGGCACCGCGCCGCGCCGCATCACGCGAGTCGACCCCGGAATAACGCCGGTAATACATATTAAGCACCCAAATAAATCAATAACGAGGCGAGTTTATCGAGACGCTTCCCTCCACGCTCGACGTTCGACGAGAACTTACGCCGGCGAGACGGGAATTTCAAACAGGCTTATCGTGCCGGAAAATCACCGACGATAATCACCGATGAGGGGCTCTCTAGAAACCCTAAAGTTAAATATTAGTCAAAAAGAATATAGTTCACAAAATGGTGTAACGTCACATATTCAAAGTTTTTCAACTTTTAATTTATATTTCTGTAATTAAATAAAATTGTTATATTAATATTAATACTGTAGATATTTAAAATATAAATAATACAGTAAAAATATTAAATAAATTAATAGGCCCAGATCAGCCTCTTCAACTAAATATAAATGTAAAATTATCTCTTTCTCAAATAAATAATTTTTACGCTTGTTTCTTACAGATAAATTAAGCAGTTATAAATTTTTTTCCAAAAATCCTAATTTTAAACAGATATGAATTTATTACGCTCCTGCAGTATTTCCCGATAATGTACACTGTTGCATATTTAGTCATATGTCCGCGATAGACTTTTGACGTGATAGACACTTCAAATAGTCCAGGATGCACAAGTCCGCGACGAAGCGGGACGCGAAGCGAGACGCGAGCGAAGCGTGACGGACGGCGCAACGGCGGCGCTGTATAAATGCAGCGTTGCTAATGTTAAATCGTCGACGCGGTAATTACATGCAAATAGCGTCGGCCACTGTTTAAACAGCGTCCAACGGTGCACGGGGCGCGCCTCATCCATATTTTTCGAAATGCTCACCCTCACGTGCTCCGTCCGCGCGTGCAAAGCTGGCCCCGTTATTAAGCGTCGCTGAATGCACTCCGGCTATATCTCTACGAGCTTCGCTTTATAAGCGAGGAAACGGGATCCATTAAAAAAATTTGCGAAGGCACCTCCTAAAAAGGAAACGCGATAGAAAAAGCTCGAATTACGGTAGCGCTCAAGAGCTTTAGCCTTGCTACTGAAAACTAAAATTAACATGTAAACGCGCGTGTAACTCCTTCCTGCATTTTCAGTTAAAGAAATACAGCTATAGATGATGAAATTTAATTTTCTCAGTCAATTTCAAGTAAATTTTCAGTAATTTTATGTTAGTTATAAAAATTTTATATCACGATTTAACGATAAAAACACACTCATTAATTATGATCACATGTTTATTATAAATCCAAAAAATTTAATTAATTTTGAGTTATAGAAATACAGGTATGAATGATAAAATTTAATTTCTCAGTCAATTTTAAGCAAATTTTCATAGAAATTTTATATAAGTCATAATCACGATTTAATGCGATAAATAATAAATATACACTTGTTAATTATAACTACAAAAAAAAGCAATTTATGAAATGATTCCTAGCTGAGCAAAAAATAATAATTTAGTAGAGACAATATGTAATATCCATAAAGTAAATATCATATCGTTTATTACAGTTCTCGAAAAAAAAAACAACGAAATAAAACTGTCCTGATCCATTTAGCGAAAAATATTTATATTTTTATCGTATAAATACGATCTTATGTAGTTTATTGTACGTGCGTGAATGAATTGAACCATTCGCGTAGAAAATTTACGATTCTGATAAATGCGATGACGGTCTTTCCCGTCGTTTCGATGAGAGCCAGGGACTACGATAAAACAGCCGTGAGTAATTAACACGCTGAACGCCAGATCTAAATTTCGACATCGTCTGGTCGCTGCCAGAAGTATTTTGAGAGATCTTAATTGTCTTAATTTTAATTAATAGAGGCGCTCATAAGCGATCTAAGAAGAGATTCAGTTAAATTGACATATTAACGACATAAGGAATAAACTAAGAGTGTTTTATCTTCTAAATTAACTTTCTTCGCAAAAATAGAAATATTCCGAGATAAAAATATAATTATTATTAAGTGCGTGTATGTTTAAAATAATAGAAAATTTTTAAATTCCTATTATTTCTATTAAGAAACGGATTTCCTAAGTCCCCTCCTTCCTCTCTTTGAAT